ATATTCGATAAAAACCTTAAATATCGAGATGAAAGGGAAAGCCTCAGAATATGATGGGTGTAAAAAATAAAGTATGAAGAAGAAAAAGAAAAGAATTTCATATAGTTACTACATATATTTTAGTAGCAAAGTTAGATAGTAAATATACAAAAATCTGAAACAACAAAATATTATAGAGAAAAATTGAAAAAGGTGTCATGACTGTGCTGAAATGATCTATTCGAGAAATTCATTTATTTCATTTCGTTCACTGCGTGACCATAAGAATTTAAATAATCGATCATATGCTCCAGAACTAATTCACCTAAAGAAACGACAGTAAATGTTGACCTACTTTTTGAAACTATAAATACTCTTACAAATTAACCATCCCAATTCTTCGCCCAAAGTTTTTTCACCACAAAAAATTCATCAGTACATTATATGCCACAAAAAATTGAGACAATATTGAAATTCCAATTACTACATCGAAATATATGATCAAACATTAACTCAATAGGTCTATCAAAATTTTATTTTGAAATATTCATTTTCTTGTATGTATGTATCTCTCATCGATACAGTATATAAAATAATAGGACAGGGCCTAAAACAGATCCTTGTGGAACATCCATTCAGTTTTTGAGGATGAAATATCATGCATTTCAATATCTTCAAACAAGCAAACTGGTAAACAGTTTTGGAAAAAAGCCTGTCAAATCATTACTTCCCTCTTACTCCATAATTATACAATTTATATTACAAAATATCGTGACCAATGAGAAATGGAATAGATATATGGCATTAACAACGACTCCATAAGTTCAATAAATTAGAACCGAAGAAAAAACGGCAGAGTGGAATGATATAATTGCTACTGCCAAATGAGAAAACTAAAACAACCCATACATCACGATTACCTGACGTAGCACGGTAGCATCTCAGGAACAATGGCTGCCGTAAATGTGCGTTCACCTTGGATTCGCAAGAATTTTGAGACAAATCCATAAAGATGCAATGTATTTATCTGTTTCGTCTGCCTCAGAGACAGGCGGGTTTTTGAGACGAGACCACATAAGCGTACTTTGGAAGGATTCCACTGTACAACAAATGTGCATGAAGTGACGAAAAGTTCCATCTATACAGGGTGTCCCTGAATTTTTTTTCCTTTCGGAAATGTATAGATGGAGTCAAAAAATCACCATTACTTCATATAACTTTTGTTCCTATCATCCGTCGTTACCAAGTTACGGGCCCTCAAAGTTACAAAATGAAAAATGTTATTCTTTGATAACTTTTCAAGTAAATATTCAAAATCAACGAAATTTTGGTGATTCACTAAACAAATGAATTGCTTTAATGGGCTTTCATGTAGGCGTCAGTTGTTTTGCTACAAAGTCAGGAACGGACTACCCATTGAAACGACACACATTTTTCGAATAAAAAAAATTAGGTTATCTGAATAAAAGTACTCTTGTGGAAAATCGCTCGGAGCAACGATTTTTGATAAAAATTAATTTTTATTCGACGACATCCAACCTGAGATGTCTAACATTATTCGAAATGAAAAATTTTCACAGCAGAAATAATTATGATAACGTTAATGCAACAACATAACAAGGATAATAGAAATAAAATATTAAGTTCTGTAGATTCGTGGTGTTTTTGAACTAACAATCTACGGGAATATCTAATTCAGTCCATATGTTGTATGTACGTGTTGTATTATCTGAATCTCATTAAACTCAACATTTGAATGTTTCAAATTCTCATTTACAGCTGAACTGTTGAGGAGTTTCACTGATAATTTAATTTGATGGGAGAAAATCTTCAACCCGACAAAAAAAGCACATATACCTATACTAATAAAGAGCAACCGAATAAACTAAAAAAAACGGTGGCACTTGAATAGGTAGAAAGTATCCGGAGAATGATTATGTTCCATTCCTTAAACAGGTGTTGACAAAAGGAAAAAAGGAAATGAAATAATTGTGATAAAAAATGAAAAACTAGAATTCGATTGTGTTTTGTTGAGTGGTGTGTTGTCATTGTATTGTCAATATTTCATAGTTTACATTCAACGAATGTGCAGATATACATGCATTTTATGGACGATAATTTTCTAATGCTGCAGAAGCCCGTCGTTTGTATTCCGATGAAGCAAGTTTTAGTAGAGATGAAGTTTATCAACTCTCATAATCCCCCACATATAGGCCAAAGAAAATCCCCATGGAATTTATCATAGGAAACCAGCTTATAATTATAATCTCCAAACGTTTCGACTGCAACTGCGGCAGTCATCTTCAGTGGCGTGGTCGAAATAATTTTCTTGACGTGTCAAATGAAACAGTGTTCATACATCTGGCGTGTAGGAAAACATCTCAGGAAGCTATTGTTTAATGAAACACGTGTTTTGGTATTGTGAACTCACAATGAACTGCCACTGGAATGCACATGTTATGCTAAGGAAACAATAGATCATATGAGTCGATGCCAAAAATTAAACAAAATAAATAGTAGGAGTCAAAACGAAGTTATCAATGATATTATTAAGATTTTAAATAATGTTTTTGTGGTTTCTGGTTTTTATCCAGTTTTCTGTTGCAATTTCTTCCCGATGATGGGCTGGCGCGAGTGGCTGACATCTTCAGAACTTTGTTATCTCCTCGACGTTTGGAGATACACTCAACCTTGGAAGTGAACTCCAATCTTGGGAGCGATAACACAGACCTGTGAGAATGCCAGCCACTCACAGAGGCAAAACGTCGGGAAGACATTCTAACAGATGGACGACCCAAAAACCTCTTCAAAAGAAGATCGCGTGAGCCTACATTTTTACAACTAAAAAAAGATTTGAAGGTTCAAATCATACCAATTACGATAATCAACTATACCTTTTTGAAAAAAGATGTTATCCATGGTTTAGTAGCATCAAGTTTGATAGAATAAACTTTAACTTCAATATTAAAGTCTTCATCAAAATCGGCCAGCAGAAATTGTTCGTTGAATAATAATTTGTCTTCAGCAGCAGTGATGATTTTGCTCATTTGTAAATCGGTTCCATTCGAAACAGCCAGAACAAAATACGTGACGAATTTGTTTTTCTTCGAGGACTGCGGTTTAAGTTCGTACTGGAAATTAGATAACGTAATACTGGCACTGTGTTTTGACACTGGTTTGAGATTGCTGTAGTTGACGTCTCTGATTTTATTCACAATCAGTTTGTATTTCAATTCTGAAAAATCAAAATCAATGATAGATAAAACTTATGGTACTGAATACAATAATTCAAAAGTAATATTTGTACAGGCAGGGCGAATTTTTATTTTGTACGTTGATTACGAATCTGAAGTCAAATTTTGCTGCAAGCAAAAATCAATTTCGACGGTTCAAGAAAATTTTGTAATTTCCTCAAAAATGATTTCATTATTCAATTGAATGCTGTTTCTTCTGAATTTACTTTCCACACCAAATACCAATTTCAGACGGAACCCTTTATTTCAAATGATAATGACAGGTTTTGGAAATTTTTTATGACTTTCTATCTCTTACAAAGATATGTAGACGATGCAAAGAGGTTTCTTTCAGACGAACTTTCAGACGAATAAACAATTGAATTTTTTAATGCTTCACTTCTACTTACACGAAACTTCTACACTTCAGATTCGTGATCAGCATACGCGAATGCATTGAGTGAGAACGAAAAAATGCACAAATTGCCATTGTATGTAGTGCATACGTTAATAGTCACCCATTTCAACTTTCAAATAGAACAAATATCAAGTTCGGACAAAAATTACTTTGAAAGAAATCATTTTCAGTACTTTTTTATGAGAAAGACAATGGTGTTGTATCATTCGTTTCTGGGAGTGCGCTACCAATTGTTTTATGAAAGCAGATAAGCCATTCCTGAGTAATTGGCAGTTTCATATTCGTTTTAAGAATGTGCACACAACGACATCATTCCAATAAATAATGAACTTGTTCACCATTCAACTTTTCGAAAGTAATCAAGGTTGCTTGAAAATTTCTCATTTTCTGGATAACTAGGAACGTGCTAAGAAGACCTAAGCAAAACATACTTAGCTCGCATAAGTTTTGACTTTCAATGTTTGTCGTTCGTAGGAGGTGCGACAGTTGGTGAACAGAAAAACAGATTCTAACCGGTTTTTTCAATTTCCATAAAAGCACCTTTTATTTCCTCTTCATCTTGCTGAAACGTAACATGAATTGAAAATTCATTTGGGTCTGTTAAATGAGTCAAACTCATTTGATTCTGCTCACTATAATACATTTCCTTGAAAAGCGGATGATGAATCATTTTCAAGAAGCTGTTGTATAGGCGTACATAATTGAGATTGATATAAAGTGGAAAGTACTATTCATTTTGATATTCACTGGTGTGGTATGACTTCATTCAACAAATCTCAAAATACTTTTTATAGTTGTATGTATATTGTAAGTAACAAAAATATAAAACACTAATTATTGTTCACGGAATATGTAGTCGAGAAGATGGCACAGAAATTAAATATTATTTTTATGTGTCTGTCTCCTTGTCATTGCGGAACTAATCCCATTGAATTTGTTTGGGCTCAAGTGAAGAGTTTCGTTAAAATAAAAGTCGAGTCCAAAATATGTCGAAAATGTATAGAACATGTAAAAAGAAGAGGAGATATGGAAATCAGACCATTCAGTTAAGGTAATTGTAGAACCTTCAATTATTACATTCGACGAAGATTCGTCGGATTGTCTGATGAAAACACACCATAATTTTTGCTCAGACCTAATATCTTCTTAAATAAGCACACCTATTTATTATTATCTAAGAATGACAACTCTGGGAAGTCGATTAGCTGAGGATTAACGATGTCTTACCTGTTGACGTGCGATTCGTAGCACGGGAAGATAGGGAGATAGCCCGGCCTTTCTGCTTGAACCACTGGTTCAGACAGCGGTCGATTGGGAGACTAGAGCAAATCACCCACGTCAACTCAACCGGCTACCGTTCCACCATATTGGAAAAAAAGAAGTTGAATAATTGATACGAAAACAGAAAACACAAGGAAGATTATGATATGATTGCTAAGATGACTACATGCGGTGAACGCGAAAAAATAAGGCTGGATGAATATCAAATTATTACAGAAAACAATGTGAAGTAGCAAAAAGGTGGATAGCAAAATATCAAATAGAGAAAATATAAGTACAAAAATGAGTCTTGAACGAATAGAACTATAATTCTACTATGAAGGAATCAAAAAGTTACAAGGATAAAACTACCATGCACAGTAACAATACTAATTTATGGAACAAATTTGTGTCATTAAATTCTCAAACTAACAAGTTAATGTTGAATAGAGTATTGAGGACATGAAATGGTTATAAGAACTCACCAGTCTCCAAGAGTATTTTTTCAGCCAAGACTACTTCGGAACAGTCACTTTTTTTGAGGGCTTTTATCGCTTTCAAGGCATTAGATGCCTCTTTCATCTTCACACATTCTACATCCCTCAGTTTTTTCAATGTATTGAACATTTCATTTGAATGAGTTGTCTCGCTCGTCTAGAATAAATTAAAAATGTACTTGTGAGATAACACCGCATTTGTTTATTCATGTGGTTCAGCGATGTGAGTAATATTCAAATTTGATATGAGGATAATGAACTGGTTATACTGGTTGGCCTATTGTGAAAAGGCACACCCAAAAATATCTGAGAAATTGTGATATTACATCAAATGTCCATGTAAATGAATTTCCTGACTAAATAAAAGTTTGTGCCGAATATTGTTTTAATTGAATACTGTATTCAATAAGGTGAATTGAGTTGGTCAAGTCGATGACATCTCCCCTTACGCCATCTGTGAGGTCGACACTGAACTCAATCAAAGATAAACGAGGTTCCTGAAGGCGGTCACTTGCAAAGCTAAGCTTCGTCTTTGATTGCCGACAGGATTCGTCCTCTGTCTTTCACGGTCAATGTCGATGCTTTGCTTTGCAACTGACCGCCTTGCGGAGCTTCGTTTATCTTTGATATTCAAGGGTCGAGTTGACTGTCGATCGCATAGATGACGTCTTCGTAAGGGTATATGTCATCGACTTTACTTACTCAGGCTGATTCGTTAAGAATAGTTGAGTCCAGCAATACATTTGTGGTTCAGTCTAGCACCACTGATGAGACCTATGGCGGGTCGAAACAGCGCTAACTGATGTTGAATCAAAAATGCATTGTGTTTGGGATCTGGTTTTCAACAGGTAAATGGAATGGAATATGTTCATTTTGTCTTTTTGTATAGGTATAATTCCAGTAACGTCCAGAATAAAAATTTTATTTGTGAAAATTGATTAATTATCATCATTTATACTTTTGGAATAGTTTCAAATCACAACTCATTTATTACGGCTTACATTGTTGATTTCGATTTCGACTGTAATGAAATAAATAAAAGAAAATTTCATAGTTGTTCATGAGAATATTTGAATCAACACATGAATCTTCATATTGCATTATTATGTTCAAAAATAGTGATTTACATTCAACTCAGATACTTGTAGACTCAAGTCCTTAGTAAAAAGGTCTCAGAAAGTTAATTTGCCAAGGGCGCTCTCATTCAATTGAGTTAATTCATAGTTCGGGGTGTATCCTATCTATCTGTCTATTTCATCAATCAAACTACGTGACTTGAAATATCAACCAACTAAACTGAATGAGTGTACCAATAATTGAAGGGTTGAATATATACTCACATTGTCCTCCAAAACATCTGGGATATTCTGATTAATATCTTTTTTTTCACTGTCGATATGCTGTACTCTATCATATAAATCTTCAACAAAAATACTTTTTCTCTTCCACCTGTTCGATTTGCGGCTTTCGAAGAGATTTACCACGAATTTTCTTTCACAATATCTCTCAAAGTTGTGCTTTTCTTCTGTGTCATCAGTGTAAGTCGTCCCCTCAATATTGATCTCACATTTTTTGCTTCCCATCTCGAATCAACGACATCGACTTGAAACTTTTAACCGACAGACGATTTTCTCGTCAATCATTGCCGTTTAATCTGTCTCCATTAACTAGTGTCAGTTATACCTGTCTGCGGGTTTTACAAGCTCTTTGCCATAATGATTTGGTACTTATTTTATTGGTGGCAAATGGCCATAACCCCACTGCCCTAGGATGAATACTTGATATTGAAATGCCTTCTGACACTAGTGCCATTTTTATATGTGAACTTTTCTGAGATTCGAAAAAGTAAATACATTATATATTCGATATGGGATAAAACTCCAGTTATATTCATTACTACACCAAAGGTTCTAAACAGTCCATTCAAGTAAGTATTATCAGAGTTGAAATTATAATGACATTTTGATTTTTGTCGTTCTTCAATTATATAATCCACAAAAATATTATTAACGTAACTTTGTTTAGTAGTTAATTGATTAGATATTTTTTGGTCGGGTGCTTATGCAGAGCAAGATCTCAAAAAAAGGAAGAACAAGTTATTTTATACGCCTAGTAATTTCACGTGATTTTCAATGGCAGTAATAATAATTATATGACAAGTTGTTCAGGATGATTATTCATAGCTCTATTCGAAATTACAGGAAACAAATTTAAAAATGAAATTCACAAGATGTCATTATTTTACATACAATATATTTATTCATAGTATCTAACAGCGTTGTCTGCGTCTAATTTGTGAGTAAAAAATACAATGTATTATGTTCAACCTCAAAAAAGGGGGTTTTATTACAGTGGACATATCTCGACCTGAACAATTTTTCTCAGTAAGAGTTTGAATAGAAAAAAGTACATTACATGAATAGAAAAATATTTTGGCTTCACTATCGATATTATGTAATAAAACAACAGTGAATAATATAATTTTTGCAAAGAATCTCGAAAAGGTACTGAAGCGAAGTTGAAGACACTAGAAACTTCGAATTATACCTGGAGATAACAAATGATTCTCGAAATCAATATTTCATTCCTTGTTAAAAGTCTATTTCAATTTCAGTTGCAATTTCGGAATACCCTTTCCAAAACCCTGCAACCGTAAAAAGAATATTTCATATTTCACGGACTGGATTCCACCTTATCGTTTTCTGCATTTCTGAAGGTTCCATTTCATGCTTGCTGCATATGAATGTGAATTCACTTATATTGCAGTTTGCAGTATATCAAGCCTTGTTCTTATCTCCGACTGACTAAACCCTTCCATCCCTATTATTCCATTGCTAGTTTCAATTTCAATACTCTTTGAATGCGTTTTGCCGAAAAGTTAAAAGGAACATTTCATGGACGTGTCGACGAACAATGCTCGTGGGGTGTTGGACTAGCGACTGTTTTGTCGGAAAGCATATTGAAAAGCACGTCAAAAGCGCCGCAGTACCGACAATCACTTTTGTGCGGATTTAGGGTCGGTTGTAATTACCACTGTATTACATCCCACAATGGTTTAGTAATTAACTTATTGTGCCCGGTGTGTAATTTGTGTGTTACCTTTGGGCGGCGCCTTTTATGTACAGGGGGATGTCGGAAATGCTCCAGGTATCTCTTTTCGAAGAAAAAGTTGACGTAGTGTACTAAAACAAACACAAATATCAACAACTCTGGTTTTAAAAATCTCAACGAAGAAAAAAACCGAAAAATGNTACTCCCATATACAAAAACTTCAACTCGCCGCGAATTTTCCAACCGAATTGGAAATGCGCGTCATCGGGAAATGACCGACATGACCCATACAGGCCGTTTCTTTCATCATGTGGTAACATTGCTATATTTTAAATCATAACAGGTACGAAGACGATTAAATGGAAAAAAAGATAACTGTCATCGGGAACAATACAATGGTCGAAGAAAATTTATGGGGACTCTCGTCCTTCTCGAGTTATACGTTTTTCGTTTTTTCTCGAATGGAATTGTTATTTCGGAGAATATAAAAAAAATGGAAAAGGAAAATTGTATATGAAGTGTACTATGACAATGTAATAATAAATATTCGATAAAAAGTTCCGTGTCAACATGGCCACCATCAACTTTTTTTTTAAATACGGACCTGTCTTTTTTCATCACAGATATTGATAAAGCGATAGATTCACAATCCAATTGTAATTCACATTTGATATTTTTATAGCGCTTCATTTGAAATAGCCACCATCATCAGTGACAACAATCAAACAGAAAAACAATTTATTTTATCATGAACTTTTGGGAAAATTAAAGCAACATGGCAATCTACATTGAATGTTCCAATTGACGACCTCTTTGCTGAATGCACATAAGTTGTCGGTCCAGAAAATTTATTTGGCAATTTTCTAGCATAATAGGTATGCATGCATCTCTTATTTTTGGTTTAAGATATTTTGTTACTTCCAGGATTGAGAATTGTAAAAATATTACGAATTATAATTGATTAGGGAGAAAAAAGCCTTGAAAGAAGGATCACGGCAATACAAAATTTCCAAAAGGAAAAAGTACGAATTTTTATTGTGTTAGGGTACCTACCCGTCGAATTTATTGAGTTGTCTGAATTATATTTTGAAGATTTCGAAAAAATTTACAAAAGAAGTAACGACAGGACCGTAATTTAAAATTGTTATTACTGATGATGGTAGTTATTTTAAATGAATCACTATAAAATATCAAATGTGATATACCATTGGACGGTGAATTTATTGCTTTAATAATATCTGTATTGAAAAAAAAGGTCTGTATTAAAAAAAATTGATGGTGGCCATGTTGATATGAAACGTTTTATCGAATATTTATTGTTACATCGTTATAGTACACTTCAAAGAAAGTACCATTTTCATTTTCCATTTTTTGGATAGTCTACGAAATAACAATTCCATTAAAAAAAAACGAAAAACAGCATTTTTGCTTTTTTCCGTATAACTTAAGAAGGGCGAGAGTCCCCGTAAATTTTCTTCGAATATTGTATTGTTCTCAATGACAGTTACCTTTTTTCCCATTTAATTGTCTTCGTATCTGTCTCCAAATTTGAGAAATTTTTCAATTTTCTGTTGAATATGATTGGTTGCAAGATTGTTTAATTTTGGATAGAAAATCGTCATTCTCAATGTTTCACTGCAGTCTTAAAATTTGTATTTCAACAGTTTTCAATTTCGGCTAGAGTGTCATCGAAACAAATGAACTATTTATACCCCAAATGTTAGTTCGAAAGTAAATGCGTTAAAAACAGCAACAAAATGCCCATTGAACGTCTCAATTCATGAGGAAAAATTGAGGTTATTTGGTGATGGTGCTCGGAGTAGCAGACAAGTTGGTCAAGAGAACAGAAGGCATCCGGCACGAAATCGTATTTGACATGGAATAAAATCTTTATTCAAATCAGAAGTGTATTGAATAATAATCATAAGTGTATTAAATAATCATCCAGCTATTGATAATCCACATCGAAATCGAAATATGATGAGTGGTCTTTCAGGTCAGATGGTGAGAGTACGGCTCTGCCGAACTCTAAAAACCTGATTCGGTCCCCAGCGGGGCAGGCACAAAGTATATGCACTGCTGTTTCATCATTTTCCAAACAGACGCGACACACACTGTCTTCCGACAGTCCGAGTTTCTGCATATGTTGATTCAGGTGACAGTGACCTGTAAGAAGGCCTGTTAGACATCGTAGTTCATCGCTACTGTAGTCCAACAACTGTTTGGTATCAAACTTCGAAGTCGATTATAGAGTCTTAAGCCAAGTACAGTAGGTGAATTTAGGCTAATATTTGAGCGTCTGAAGGGAACGCATGCAAAGGACTGATTTTTAGATAAGAACTGAAGAAAAAGCTCTCTCGAAACAGCTACATCTATAGAAACATTGAATTTCACGAAAAAAAAAATCGAAACAAATCCTTTTGAATGAACACCGAATTATACAAAAACATTTTTCTCTAATCGGTTTGTATTCCAGATATTTCAGAGTTATGAAATTGAATCAGATATCATTCACAGGATTGCTATACAATATAGAAAATGAAAGAGGTAAAATCTCTCTTACATGGAACATTGCCATCATCACTGGTGGACATTCGATGTTTCGGCATAAGACAATTGCCTTATCGCCCCTTCAGAACCAAATCTGGATAACATTATAAGAAGAGGCACTCGATTCATTATTAAAAATAATGTCATGTCACAAATTAAATCAATCTACTTATGTCATCGATGACAGTACGTAATTACATTCATTCGCTTCTTTTAATAAATCCCAGCCATAGGAATCTTGTTTAAATTGAAACGGGTATATTTTTAGGAGAGAATAATTTTTGGGAAAGAAAGGTTTTGGCTTTCCACTTCTTCAACATTTTACAAAAAAATATGATAATCCTC